AGAGAGGGTTTAGCGCACTTGCCTTCGCTGCTGAGACCACAGAGTGTGGGAGTTGGGATGTTGTGCTGAGGTTACTGGTGGAGCCACTTTTGGAATACCGTGTGCAATTCTGGTCACCCTGCTATAGGAAGGATATTATCAAATTGGAAAAGATTTGCCGGGATGCTGCAGGGACTGGGGGGTTTTGGGGTATGGATAGGGGGAGTGGCAGGGGTCTTTTCCCTAGGGCGGGCAGAGGAAACGCTTCAGTGATACTCTCAAGGCCCCGCTGGCAAAGTGCGACATTCCCACAGACACCTGGGAATCACTAGCTCAAGACCGTCCAACATGGAAGAGGAGCGTCCAGGAAAGTGTCGAGCATCTCGAGACTTGCCATTGGGAAGAAGCTGAAGCCAAGCGAAAACAGTGAGAGGAACGCGCTACCATACCAACAGCCCACCCACCCCTTCTGCCCCCAGTGTAACAGAGCCTGCAGTATCTGTATCTGAGCGTACAGACACCTACGGACTCACCCTGAGCGTGGAAAACAGTCACCCACGTCTGCGAAAGGACCACCGATAAGTGAATGAAGTTCCCTAGGGTGGGGAAATTCAAAACTGGGGTGGGTATTTATTTTAAGGTGAGAGGAGAAAGATCTGGGGGCCACCTGGGTGGGCAGGCCACTTTTTCACACAGAGGGTGGTTTGTGTGTGGGACGAAACTGCCAGAGGAAGTGGCAGATGGAGGTACAGCTACTATATTTAAAAGATGTTTGGGTAGGTATATGAATAGGAAAGGTTTAGAGGAATATACCAGCAAATGGGACCATTTTAGTTTGGGAAACCTGGTCAGCACAGATGAGTTGGGCTGAAGGGTCTGTTTCCATGCTGTATGACTACAATAATGCACTGATAAGAGTGGAAGCACTCCTACACACAAAGGTTGGTAGAAGTTTGGCAATGGACGCTGGATCAGTTATCAATGTTAAATCTGAAGTAGATAAGTTTTTGTTAAGCAACGGTATTAAGGGATATAGGCCAAAAGTAAATGGAATTAGTCCACAGATGGCAGCACAGGTTCAAGGGGCTGAATGGCCAACTCTTCTTCTGTTTGTATTTGAGTACTTTATTTACTTAGCAAGCTCCTAAACTGCAATAGCTTCAGGAAACAGCCTTTGAAATATGCGCCAATAAACAGAGAATTCCAGGCTGGCATTCTCCACTTATTTTGCTGGTCAGAAATCTACACTCTGAATACCAACCCACCCAGATCCCATTGGTGGCACTACTGGACGGTCTGTACATACAGTGTAACTGGGCAGCAGCTGCAATTAGCCAAAGCTGGAAAAATCATCCTCTCGCATTTGGTGTCAGAAACACAACGTGTTTTACATTACGCCTTTCAGCTTCATGGAGCAGCACATATTTTCCGAAAAATGTCATCACCCTGGTGCTTCTGCTCATGAGTGGTTCCGAGACAGACTAGCCACAAAGGTCGAAGTGAGCAACTTGGGAAAGGGTTGCATAACCAAAGTGTAGCGTGAGCTTACAAGTTTTGTATCAGCTTTCTGTTGGCATTACTAACTGACAAGTCTCTGCATGGGAAAAAGGAAACCATTAGCCCAAGAGCTGGGACTAAGTGTTGTGAAGGGCTACTGCAGGTCACAATGAAGAGAGACACAAAGCTGTAAATATACTGGGGGCTACCATAAACGGAAACTTAACTGCAAGCAGATGTGCTCGAAGCGGTCAGATCCCTCACAGGGATTGAATCACCAATCAGCCTCTGGTTCACTTTAATTACAGGAAGCCAAATCTTGCTGAATACAGTCTTTACTGTGTAATCTTCTGTGCAGTCATAAACTCTTTACAACACCAAGTTCAAATCGACTGAAGTTATTTTTAAGCAACCCTTCGTTTCCCTCCAGATTACTGGCAAAAGCTGATCTCAAACCGAGTAAAGAAAAAAGCCAAGTTTTCTTAATTCAAGGCTGAGAATTTACACCGGAACATGACGCCAGGATGAATGTAGCGACCACATTACGTAATTGACCAGAAACTGATCATGTAGAAACTTGGCTTGGGTCTTTTTCTTTGGAGTCAGAAGGTGATGGATTCAAGCCACCAGACCCTAGCACATAAATTGACGTCGACAGTACTACAGCACTGAGGGAATGCTGCACTGCCAAAAAAGGTGCTGCCTTTTGTAATGGAACAATGAAATGTTTGAGTGGATAGGACTGTGCAAACCTAGCTAACAGGCGGCACGGTGGCTCAAGGGTTAGCACTGCTGCCTCACAGCGCCAGGGACCCAGGTTCAATTCCACCCTCGGGTGACTATTTATGTGGAGTTTGCACATTCTCCCCCGTGTCTCCAAGGAATTCCTCCGGGTGCTCCGGTTTCCTCCCACAGTCCAAGGATGTGCAGCTTATGTGGATTGGCTGCACTAAATTGCCTTGTAGAGTCCAGGGATGTGCAGGCTAAGTGGATTAGCCATGAGAGAAATGCAGGGTTACAGGGATAGGGTAGGGAACTGGGTCAGGGTGGGATGCTCTTCAGAGGGGCAGTGTGGACTTGGTGGACTGAATGGCCTGCTTCCACACTGGAGGGATTCTATGATTCTTCTCTCAGTCGCTACCATCCAAAGTCACACCGGAAGAATCATGTAATCAAACGGTTTGGCTAGTTTACCAACATCTCCTGGACATTGAGAAGTTCTAGTATCCAAACAAAAATAAAATGCTTTTCTGTAAAATCAGGGGCTTTTAGCTTAGATTTCAGGGTGGGGGAGTTTCTTTCTGGCATTCTCTGCTACTTTTACACTCGATTAATTAGTTCCAGCCTTTGTATTCTGAAGTCCCACTATCCCAGACCAGCCTGCTACTCAGTCTGTTGCCATGGTGACATACCCCACACTGCACAAAAAGCGTCTTTCTGCAGGTCTGCCAGATCAGAACATGCCGTGACTCTGTGCACTCCAAGTGTTAACTGGGAGACCACAATTCCAGCAGAAGGTTAGGAGACCAAGGAGGAGCTGAAGGTTTGATTCCAAATGTGTAGAGAATACAGTGTAACCAGGGGTGTGCGCACCACAATAGCACTGGCTTATCATCAAATACTATAATTACAGCAAACATTATTTTGGACTCAAATTCACATGAAGGTAACTACCCCATTGCACATGAGTTAAATCCGAAACCGATCTGTTGAGTTCCTGATGTGCGGTGAACAGTCCATGGTTGTTGGGCAATCACAGATCAAAACTACAGTTGAAACTTATAATGGAGATAGGCAATGTTTATAATGTACTTATTAATAATAAAGGGCATTAAAGACAGAGAACCACCCACCATACAGTTACCAGAATGATACCATTATGTGAATGGTATGGTTATAATGATAAATTTAAGATGAGATGGTTGAATGCAGGTAGTGTCACTAGATTAGCAATCCAAAGGCCCAGCCTAATTCTCTGGGGACAAAGGTTCAAATTCCAATCAAATCCGGAATATAAAACTAGTTGCAGTAATGGCAACTTGATAAATATCAATATTTGGTCCAAAGAGGTGTAGGTTAGGTGGATTGGCAATGCTAAATTGCCCATAATGACCAGGGCTGCGCAGGCTAGGTGGATTGACCACGGTGAACGCAAGGTTACAGGAATAGGGTAGGGGGCCGTATCTCTTGGGATGGGACACCGTTCGGAGGGTTGGTGCAGACTCAAAGAGGCCATTTGGCCTAATTTGCACCGTAAGGATTGTGTGATTTGTTGTAAAATGACAAATGGCCTTCAGGGAAGGAGATTTGCCATCCGAAACTGGTCTGACCTACACGTGACTCCAGATCCACAGCAATATGGCTGATTTTTAACCGCCCTCTGAAGTGAACTTTATTTTTACTTCTATTTCAATCTTATACATTAATATCTTCTGTACGCCAAAACGATGGCAGAGCATGGTGACATATTACACTTTTCACCGTATTTGTTTGTTAAATACTACTGGCAATAAGTCATTCAATTCAATTACAGCTGAGCAAGCCACTCAATTTGAAGACAATTAGAGATAGGCGACAAATGCCAGCCATGATAAATGAAGAGGGAAAGACTTATCTCTAACTGCAGAATTCGTTCAAAAGGTTTTTTCATTTAACGTTATTATGAGAATTTGGGGTCAGCACAAATTTCCTCACCGAGGGTCACCTTAGCTCAGGATAACATCTTGCGACGTTTCAGAATTGCACATAATCAGAGTGAGAGATGCGCCCAATGTGAAAAGTAGCTGTAGGGAATCTTTGTGAAGCCCCAGGAGACTATTACCTCATGACCGAGGTGACTCCGATGGAGGTTAGGAGGATGAGGGGGATGTCTGTCTGAAACTTACAGAGTACTATGGGGCCTGGACAGAGTGAATGTGGAGAAGATGTTTCCACCAGGAGGAGAGACCAGGACCCGAGGGCACAGCCTCAGAGTGAAGGGACGACCCTTTAGAACTGAGATGAGGAGGAATTTCTTCAGCAAGAGGGTGGTGAATCTGTGGAAGTCATTGCTGCAGAGGGCTGTGGAGACGAAGACATTGAGTGCATTTAAGACAATCCGAAGATGTGCAGGTTAGGTGGACTGGCTGTGCTAAAGTGCCCATAGAGTCCAGGAATGTGCAGGTTAGGTGGATTAGCCATGGGTTAGGGTCTGGGTGGGATGCCGAGGGACTCGATGGTCTGAAAGGCCTGTTTCCATGCTGTAGGAATCCCAGAGAGGAGGAGAAGAATTTATTTTTGATATGCAGCAATTTACCACACCGTACCTTGGTACTCGCCACGCCGATTTCTGGTCCAGCATTGATGTGGACGCCACAGTCAGTCTCTCGGGAGATTGAGCTGCCCACTGTGTTGGTGATGCCAACAGTCAGGGCTCGCCTCCCTTTGCAGTACCTCAAGGCCATTAAAGTGTCCGCAGTTTCACCTGGAGAATGATAAAATGCGGGTTAACCAGATGCCGCACTGAAAGCACAAGAAAGATCGCTCTCCAAACAGTCTACTGGCTTCAAGACTGCATTCATAAAGACACTTTGAAACAATAATCAGCAGATCAGCACACAAAAACAAACTAATATAGACCTTCATGTTTGCTTCCCTCAGCAATGTACATTTATATAGTACCATTAGCATGGCAACACATCACAGGAAAAGATTTGAACACTGAGCCACAGAAAGAGATATTAAGACAGGAGAGCAAATGTATTTATACAACACCTTTAAGGTGAAAAAACACGTGGAGTTTCATAGGAGCTTTATAAAACAAAATTTGACAGGGAGTCACACAAGGCAATATTAGGAAAGATGACCAACATCTTGGTCAAAGGATAGGCCTTAAAGAGTGTTTTAAAGAGAGATTTACTGAGGGACATTGGGAGTGCAGAGCCTTAGCAGCTGAAAACATGGCCAGAGTGGAGTAATTAAAAATTTGTGATGGGCTAGAATTAGATGTGTGCATACATTGTGGAGGACTGAGGGGTAGGAGGAGATTACAGAGAAAGCAATGGGCAAGCTCATGGATACACAAGAAAACAAGAACGAGAATCCTTTTAAAAAAAAGAACATGAGGCGTTGTGCCGGAGCCGGTG